CGCCAGAGACTAAAGTCTCATTTGCCATTAAAATCTTCCATTTCAAATTTTGAAGAAGTCATTTTTGAAAAATATGAATGAATTAGATGTATGCAGATCAATCAGACACCAAACAGTAACTTGCAATGCAGAATCAGACAAGTATCACCACTCAAGGGACACGACAAAGTACACAAATTGCAAGTACAGAGAGCAAGCACTTCAGAATTATATCACAATGTACACAATTTATCCACAGCAATACAATTACAGTATTGAATCAGAGGCAAATTATATATAGTAATCAATCAAGTTTATGTAATACTACAGAAAGAATTTCAGAAACCAAGATTATCAAGAATCTTAACTGTAATCCAAGTAACCTTCAGATTCCAAACAACTCTTAGGGTTTCAGGACAAAGGAATTACAAGGAGCCAAGAATCAGGTTTTGAAAATAGTACAAGGAAGAAAATCTAATCGAGTATCAAACTTGATTTTCACTTGAAAACTTAAAACTGAAAGGATCTCACCAAATCCCCTTATTAGGGTTTCAAGAAAACACGAAGAGCGGCTCAGATAAGAGTCACAGTGTCAAGATCGAGTGCACACAGTATCAAGAACTCCCTCCAGACACTCTGATACCACCGTTAGGAGGAGATTCACAAAAGGTTAGCTCAAGATCAACAAAATATATATACTAAAACAGAAACCAAAGTGAACAGTAAAACGAACAAACTAAAGTGAAATAACACATCTTATTATTCGAAGCCCTCAAGCCAAGAATCCGGTATTCAGTGCTTAAATCACTGAAGAACAACCACTATCAGAGTACAAATCACAACCAAAGTGAGATTACAAAGGGTAGACACTCAGAGTCGACCCTAAAATCACAAAACCTCTCCTTTGCCAAAACAGTTCACACAAGAACTAATAACAACTCAACTTAATCAATAATCACACAAGATTACACATGTTTTAGTAAGTAACTTGAAATCAAAAGAGCATTTTGATTTCAACATAGAAGGAGGAGAAGTCTCTACAAACGGCGCAGAAACGAGAGAGAGATAGAGAAAAATCTCGAGCAAGTGTACAGTGATCCAACCCTAGAAGTCCTTTCAATGGGTCACCTAATGGCCACCAATCCAAGGGCTGTGGAGGCGACACATGGCGACATCCTGGACGTCCAAAATCAGGTAAGTTGTAAACACGTTTTTGCACCAAGTATTATACCAGATTATTCAGCTAACTGGGCTTCAAGATTTCAGCCCATTGGGTCACTTGCATCATTGTGCCACAAATTCCCTTCAATACCAATTATAATATCGAATTTTGTTTGCTTAAAGAAAATGAAAAAATATTTTTGGATGCATACTATGCACTCTTGTGTAATGAGAAATACTGGCAAATGAAATTGGATTTTAATTTGTTAGTGAGCCTTAATATGTTGAAAGAACTCCGTGCATTAATGATGCATCAAATGTTTTGTGTTTGGTCAACAACATGGATTACTGTTAAATATTTCCTGTGCATCTAAGTAGCAAGATGATTCCTCTTCAGGTTCTGCATCTCAGCATCAAGAAACATCTGCAGCAGGGGATGCTTCTCGAACATTCTTCTCAGCATGACCGTGGGAGGAAAGGCTTCCGACCAGCCCAAAAGGACACTGAGAACACATAATTATAGGAGTGTTATGAGTTTATTAGTTTATTATCACCTCTTTCAGACTACTCTGATTTGCCTGAAAGATTATCCAATCTCTTCAGTTCTTCCATTTGTTGGTCTCAAAGCACACATTGGTAACTTTGGTTCCAATTTTGCTGTATATTTTTAATTCATTCGTCCTTTCTTCTAAAAGAAATAAAATATATCTATGTTTCAAGATGCCGATGTGAGGTGAACTAGGCTAGCCTCGATTTGGATTTAGTCATTGTGAATTTCCACTTCTAATTAATGTGTTGATGCATTTGAATATCCATGAAAAATTTATCTTGGTTTTGCAGTTGTAGTATCAAAATTTGAAAAGGACTGCACCTGTATCCTCACAATAAATAGAGTCCAAATCTTTGCCTTGAACTTGAATGAGTGATATGATTTGATCTTTGTTATGGGTTCTCAAATCATCGCTACGGCATTTAGTAACTCATTTTTCCCCTTACTATTTGTTGATCATTTTCTCTTCTGACAGTTGGGGCGGCTGTATCTGAACTTCTCGCGGAATCTTGCAGTGAGAGACAACATTTTAACAAGTTCTGCCCTTTTCTTTACATTTCCTTTCACTCATTTGAAAACACAAGTACTGAATATCAAACATTCCCTCCTAGTACAAAAGGCTAAAAACCAGTTCCAGTAAGTTGCTGATTATGCATTATTGTTGTACAAAAAGTACCGTTAAAGCAAGTTCTCATTGCAGATGAGTTTAAATTTACATCATGAATCGTTCTTCTCTTTCTCTACCATGCTCTCAAGGATTGCAGATCTTGGGTTCACCATTGGCGGCCCCTTTCCGCGACGCTCGAGTTCGTCAAGCCGGAAAGTAACGAGTCTATCCCAATTCCCACCTTCAAACAGAACCCCAGCCTTGCCATCAGTAATTCTTTGGACAATACCACAGTACATATAAAAGGGGTTACTAGGGTTCTTGACAATGGCTATCATTCCAGGTAATAACAGTGGCAATTCAGGTGCTTTTGGCTTCTTTACAGAGCTTGGAGTAAACTCAGCAATGGCTGATTCTCCCTTCTTAAGTGGTGGATTTTGTTCAATGAACTTCATGAGTCCCTTTTCGCCGCCTGGAAATCCACCAGTTAAGCCTAGTAACTCCTTTTCAAATCCATCTTCTGATGATGCCGGTGGTGGCTTTTCTTGCTCTTGAGGGGTGTCCACTGGCGTTGCCGCCTTCTCTGGGTTGGCGAGAGATTTTTTCAGTTCTTTCTCGAGGCCTTCTTCTCCATTGCAGAGGCCTCTACCTCCCAATATCTCATAGAGGTTGAATTTTGCTGTGGGAGTAGATTTGAAAGATGAGGGTTGTTTTGGAATTGTGAAGATTGATTTATGAATGAATCTGGAGAAATTGGGTTGGCCAAGAAAGTGGGATTTGTTAAGAAGAGGACCTTGAAGGTTTGGGATATGGAAAGAAGCCGCCATGGATTCTCAATTGAGGTAGAGGAAGAGTGGAAATATCTGTTGTTCTAATAATGGCCACAAATAAATTTGTGTCATATCTGATATTTTCATTGCTACACACGTTTTTCCACCAATTAATCAACTCATTGGCTATCTTCTTTCTTATCTCTCTATCTCTTCTCTCTCTCTTAAAAGAGGCAGTACAGGGGTTACTGTTCATTTGTGATTTTTCCTCTCAATTCTGTTCATTTGTAAGCCGTGTTTGGACAACTTCTACCATTCAATTTACTGTTCATATGTAATTGGCTGCCACCTTTTGACTAGAAAAATTTAAAAGATTATCACGCCTCTTTTCAAAAGAAACGTAGCTGCCTTTAGCTTTGCATTTCGCTTTCCCTCCCTCTCGAAGGCATTTGTAGCTGTCGATTTAGCAACCTTGCCTATGTTAGTACTTAGTAGTAAGCTCAACGCTAAGGCGCCTGAGTTCATTCCAAGATCGGTCTTTGTACCACTTCCAAAGAGAGTATAATATATTCATCTTTCAAACACCAATTTTTGTTGTTAATTCTTTCATTTTACTGTTGTTTTCAGCCAACCCATTTAAAGGTTCTTCATGTTCTTGTTCGTCTTGTAAATTGAACCATTTGAAACTTCTCTTTTTGTTTGAGTTCGCCGATTTTGACCCGCTAAATTTTTTGGTTTTTTTTTCTTATTACGGTTTTTTTTTATGATCCAAAGTCTCGCCCTTTTTGTTGCAATTTCTAACTCATTAAGAATTTGTCCCAGCCATAAATTGAGTTCACAAACACTGGCGTTCCTATGAGCCTCAAGAATGTGAAATGAATTAAGATTTCGGACTAGGAATCTTTCGATTAAGGGCTCAACATTAGGGTGACCAAAGGAGAACACTTTTCCAGCGGGAGAGAAGACTACAATGGGCTCAACATTAGGGTGACAAAAGCAGAACACTTTTCCAGCCGGAGAGAAGACTACAATGGCAATCTCAACACCGCAAAGTATACAAAGTTCACTAGGCTTCTTGAAAAGCCCAATCGTCGTTTGGAGAACGTAACTTTTAGGTGATTTTTTATCTCTGCTTTCGCGATTTTGATCTTTTGATGACTAGGTTTCTTGGCCATGGCTAAAATTTTATTTGATTGTACAAACGGATAGGGAAATGCTTAATTTGCTTTCAAGATTTTGTGATAGGAAACTTTGGGATGAAAGTCAGCACAATTTATATGGGACTTCAACTCTGGCCAGTATCATTTTATTTGGTAGTTTTTGTTACATTTTGCGTGTTTGATAAGAATAACCTGATTTGGGAGTTAAAAAATCTTTATTTATTTAATGCATGTAATGTTCTCTTAGGTGGCCTATTCAAGATGAATTGACTATTTGCATAAATACTAAGTCAGCTTTAACTTGTGTGTAATTTGATAATTCAAGAGAAAATTATGCAAAGATGAACGTCTAACTCTACATTAATTAGATACTAACTTAGAGAAATATAACGATTATTTGTTTCCTGTTGTAACAAAAAAAAAAATGAAAGTTGTTTTTTTTTTTTTTTACAAAAGGCAGTCCAGAAATGTGTCACTTATACCGCCCTGAAGAAAAGCAATCTAATCGGCAAACTGATGTTAAGTGCCTGTCTGGGAGAGATTATTTGAGCCAAATAATGATTTTTTTTACCCTTTTTTCTAACACCAATTTGCGGATGTGAGATAAGAAAGTCAACTAATGCGGCTGCCTCCCCACCAACGGTCTGAAAATGACTTAAAATCAGGACTAAAATAAAAAACAGACAGACTCTTAAGTCTTTAGTTAAAATCAAGGATGGACTTAGCACTCGGCGAGCCGACGCGGTCGCTCGTGCTGTCTTCTTCAGAAAAAAATAATGACTTATAAAGTTTTGATGAATAGCTTATACGGTACGGTGATAGTTTCGCATGTGAGAGATACAAGGTTTGATTCCAAAGACTTCTCTTCTTTCTTTTAATTTTTAGCTTCCAAATTGTTCAAAGCAAAATTTTATATCATATTTGCATAGGTATGATTCAAACATGTACTCGTGCATGTGGTAACTAAATACTTGACCGCTACGGCAATTGAAGAATTTTAGCACTAAATGTGACAAAAAATTATATATTCAATTTAGAAAGTAATGGGAGTGAATTGTTTCAATAATCACCCAATTTATACCATGGTCATGACTGCTCACTAAACTTTTAAAGTGTTTCACAGTGCTCACTGAACTTTGTTCGTTTGCACTCCGTCCATCACCCTTAAAAATCCGTTACATTATTCGCTAACGTGCCTAACGAAAATCTGACATGGCAAGTTATGGTCGTTAAAAAAATGGCAACTCAACAAAACAATTGTTTCATTACACATCCAACTTGCACTTGGTCATAGTTTACTCATCGAACTTCCAATGGTCACTCATTTTTGAGATGTTGCATTCTATTCATCATCCGCTATATTCTCTTTCCTTCATTTCTACTGTTCGCACAAAAATTCCACGTGGTTAGTTACCAATGTTAAAAAAAATTACAACTCGACAAAACTTAACTCACCAAAATCACTATATGTGAAACGTGACTTCTACAACCCCATCAACTTCTTTAAAACCCAATAAAGCGTAATGATTATTTTAGAAATATCATTTTTCTAATACGAACGTTTACGGTGTAAAAAATAGGTTTCAATTTGAAGCTTATTGCGTAAAAAATAGGTTCAATCTGAAGTTAAAACTCTTAATCATAACTTGTTTGGTTAAAACGTTTACCATATATGAAATGCGACTTCCACACCTCATAAACTCCTTTAAAATCCAATAAAACGTCCCCAAAATAATTTTAAATTTTTTAATGCAACAAGAAATTATTTTTTAGTTTTTAATTTTTTATTTCTGAAGGAAAAATAATTTTCTTTAATGCGTGATTTAAAATAATTTGGGAAAAAAATTATTTTCAAAAAACCTATCCCAACTTTATAAGGAACTTTATCTTAATTCTTGAGTTGTAGCACTATTTGTCCCCAAGCATGCATGTTTAGGAAATATTTCTAAAGAATTTTTAAACAAATAAAAATGAGCAATTGATAAATGAATAATGTTTGTGAATTTTACTAATGTAGATAAAAGCGATTTCACCAATAAATTACTAGGGGGTGTCTATATAAAATCCTATAAAATCTCTCAAATAATCTCATTCGTTTATTTTATAATAATTTTAACAAATAAATTTTGTTTATTAAAATCCTATAACTTTCAGAATTTCCTTCCCCCTACCCCAAACCTATCCTGCCTACCCCCACCCCATTTTAAAATAGGTAGTAAATTAAATGATATGAATTCAATGTCTAATTAATAGTATTTTTTTATTTGACTATACATCGACAATTTTCTACTCGTAAATAAAAAAGGCACTTTTACTGTTCACAAGGCGTAAGCCAAGCCGAACGACTTTATGGCTTGGCTCGACTAATTTTTTTTTTTTTTTTTTCCTTTCTTTTGATTAATTTTGTTTACAACCGAGCTAAATGGTTTTATGGCTTGGCTAACTTCTATTTTTTTTTTTATTATGTTCGATTCAGTATTTTAAGTTATAAATATTCGTTTTAAGAGATTTAAATTTTGTTGAAAATGTTGAAGTGCGGTCATAATAAATATATGATCGATAAATTTTAATATCAAAAATAATTTTACATTAATTATGAAACGTGAAGTCGTGATTGTTTATGTTTCTTTTCAATCCCAACCTCA